ACCCCCCGCCGCCGCCCTCGTCACCTGACCCGCCGGCGCCCCGCCGCGCGCCCCCGCGGCGCAGCCACCGACCTGATGACACTGATGTGGAACTGGTCCTCGCGGAGGCCCCGCCAGGCGCCGGGCAGGAACTCCCTGCACCACAGATAGGCCCTGCGCCGAGTGCGGGGCTCGGGCTGCTCGTCGGCGCGGCGGCGGCGGCGGCGCGGCGGGCAGCGGCACGGCGCCGGCGGCGGCCAGGCGAGCGGCGGCTGCGGGCCGCCCAGCTGCTTGGGCTCGAGGTCGCTGGCGGCGTCGCGCTGCTGCCCCACGCCGGGCGCCGGGGCCGCGCTGCCGCTGCCGCAGCTCAACAGCAGCCCGAGCGGCGAGGGTTCCGCCTCGCCCCGGTGCAGAACTTGGTCTTCATGCCGGGCAGGCGGCCGAGGCGGCGCGGGCGGCCGCAGCGCGAGAGGGCGAGGCTCAGGTCCGGCGGGCGCCGCTGAGGAGCCGGCGGCGGGCTCGCTGACTGGCCGGCCGGCGGTCTGCGCGCGGGCGGCGGCCGGCGGTTGGGCGCGCCGGGCGCGGAGCGGCGGCGCGCGGCGGCGCGGGCTGATGCTGTGGCCGCGGCGCTCGCTCCTATACCGCCGCCGCACGCGGAGCGCGGCCGCGTCACAGCCCGCCTCGCGCTCGCCGCTGATTGGCCGCCGCTCGCGGCCGGCGCATCATTCTCTTGGGGCGCGGCGGGCCCGCCACAGCCGTCTCCCTCAGCCCGCGGGAAATGCGGGCGGAATCCGGCGGAACGGGCCCGCGGCCGCCCCGAGGCAGGCCCCGTAAAAATGTCGGTTTCGGGAGAGTGCGGGTGTGTTCCGGGAGAACAATACCGTTCAGGCCCTGCGCACGTCTGGTGTTGAGGCTTAGAATATGTCTAGAGGGTGAGCCCCTTTGCGGTGTAGGCCCTTGAGTGAAGGGGGGTGTGGTGGCCGACCTTAAAAAAGAAATGGCTTGGTAACTTTTTCTTTCAGTTCCTCGAGTTCGTGATTTGGTTTTATTCCCTTCTGAAAGTCATTATTTGTTAGTGGTGAAAGTAACGTTTACTCATCCCTTCCGAAACTGAGACATCTTACGTAGCTATGTTACCAGACCAGGTTGGGAGGCGTGGCTCCAAAAATAAGGTAGAAATGCGTTTTCCCTTTTTTTAAGCTTAAACATATTTAACCTTAAATTTGAGTTCTGAAAGCATATAGGTGCACATTCAGACTTCACAGGAAAATAGAAATATCCCCTTGACTTCTGTTGTCACTGTGCTCCCAAGAGATAACCAGTCAGCATCAAGTGTGTATCCTTCTATTTAGACCTTAAAAAATGTAATGTGTTCAGTCTTTTTCTGCTAATTGGCTGACCAGGTTGAGTGCAGTATCTAGAAACTGGCTGGCTGGCTGCCACCAATAATGCCCAAATCCAATTTTGGTCATTTGATTCCTTTCCTGTGCCCATAGTCTTTCACCACAGCTGCGAATGCAGCAAAATTAACTCTTTGAGCTTCACTTCCTCTTTGTGCTTCAGGCCCCTCTTAACAGTTATGCTTGTGAGCTAAGAGTGAGAGTTAAAAGGCCGTTGGTAGGAAGCATAGAAAAGAAAAACAGAAATGTTCAGATAGTCCCTGAACTGCCTAATGGTACTTTTTTTAATTAAAAATTTTTTTAATTAAATTACTTTATGTATTTACTTTTTTTTTTTTTTTAGAGATAGGGTCTTGCTCTGTCGCTCAGGCTGGAGTGCAGTGGTGAGATAATAGCTCATTGTAGCCTCCATCTCCTGGGCTCAAGCAGTCCTCCCACCTCAGCCTCCCTAGTAGCTGGGACTATAGGCCTGCAACACCATGCCCAGCTAATTTTAAAAAGTTTTGTTAGAGATGAGGCCAGGCGCGGTGGCTCATGCCTGAAATCCTAGCTCTCTGGGAGGCCGAGGCAGGCGGATCGTTTGAGCTCAGGAGTTCCAAACCAGCCTGAGCAAGAGCGAGACCCCGTCTCTACTATAAATAGAAAGAAATTAATTGGCCAACTAATATATATAGAAAAAATTAGCCCAGGCATGGTGGCGCATGCCTGTAGTCCCAGCTACTCGGGAGGCTGAGGCAGAAGGATTGCTTGAGCCCAGGAGTTTGAGGTTGCTGTGAGCCAGGCTGACACCACGGCACTCACTCTAGCCTGGGCAATAAAGTGAGACTCTGTCTCAAAAAAAAAAAAGTTTTGTTAGAGATGGGGTCTGGCTATGTTGCCCAGGCTGGTCTAGAATTCCTGGCCTCAAGCTATCCTCCCACCCCACCTCCCATCCCTGTTGCTGGGACTACAAGTATAAGCCACCTTAACTAGAAGGGTGATCGTTCTAGGCCATGTACTCATTGGTCTAGAAAGTGAAAAACCTAGCGAAGTGACTTACCCAAGGTCAGTGGCTGTTTACCACTTTCAGAGCCTGAAGTGCCAGGTCTCTGGTATTCCCCCTCTCCTGTACCAGTGCTCTTGCCTTTGGCCTGTGAGGACATGTGGACACCCTTGAGCATTTGCTCAAATCAGTCTTTACAAAAGCACTAAGGATGTCTTGTTTCTTTTTTCAAGAGTTAGTAGTCTTGGAAGACTCAGCTTTCCTTTGGGTTGGAGGACATTTTTACTTAATATTGCAAGGTGTACACTGCTTCTTAGTCCTGTGATCTAAAATAGAATGTAGTTAAGGAATGAGTTTAATAAAGAGCAAAGAAGTGATTTAGGACATGGACAAGTGGGTGATGCCTAGCTTTAAATAAAAGACAAAACAGTTGGAGATGCTGGGGAGAGATTTGCTTGGTTGAAATTCAGTGATACTCCCTAGGTAATTACATTTACTTTGGCTCCAGCTGTCATATGTTATTGACATTTCCCAATCCATTTCTTGCCTTTTTTTTTTTTGAGACACAGCCTCACTTTGTTGCCCGGGCTAGAGTGCCCTGGTGTCAGCCTAGCTCACAGCAACCTCTAACTCCTGGGCTCAAGCAATCCTTCTGCCTCAGCCTTCCGAATAGCTGGGACTGCAGGCACATGCCACCATGCCCAGCTAATTTTTTAAAATATATTTTTAGTTGGCCAATTAATGTCTTTCTATTTTTAGTAGAGATGGGGTCTCGCTCTTGCTCAGGCTGGTCTCAAACTCCTGAGCTCAAATGATCCACCTGCCTCAGCCTCCCAGAGTGCTAGGATTACAGGCGTGAGCCACTGCACCGGGCTCCAATCTATTTCTTGAGCTCCATCTTTTCACTGTGTGCCAGTTCATCTGCAGAGGTTTGTCAGACCTCACCACCTCAACAGTCCATTCAGCCTGTTCCAAATTTAACCCTTTGGCTCCTCCTTACCCCAGAATGTACTTCTGCTTTCTCTCTGAATTACTAACAGCCTGGCCAGAGCCCCAGGATCATTTCTAACTCTGCATTCCCCTAGAAATCCCTCCTCCACACACAGTGGTAACTAAAACCTGGTAAAGAACCATTTTGTGTCTGTACCTTTTGTCTGCTCTCTTTGTCACTTCGAAGGCCAGGAGAACCAGCCTGCAGGCATTGCTTGGACACTGTAACTGTGCCTGTGGATCACTTTGTGTTTTTTGTGTTCCCTCTAATCCGGTCTATATCCTGTTGCCAGGTATTTCTCAAATATTACTCCTGTGACTTTCTGTAGCTAGAGAATCAAATCCAAACTTGCTTGCTTGGTCTAAACTTGGGCCCAGCCTGCCTTTTTATGGTGGTTCTTGTTTTGTTGTTTTAAAATCACTGTTTCCCCCAACTGAAACAACTACTACAAGCAACTAACGTTGAGCTAGGTACTCCATACCTTGCGTTTAATGCGTGAGCTTTGTGTTTTCAGTTATCAGGCCTTTGCTCCTACCTTCTGCTTGGCAGTCTTTCCCTTTGGTGTCTGCTTTTAAAATTCATCCTTCTTGCACTCATTGCATTGTCCAAAAAAAAAAAAAAAAAAAAAATTCATCCTTCAAGGCCTAACTCAGAGAGAACCAGACAGCATGAATTTCTTTCCCATCTATGTCTCTTCCCTAGCTCTTCATGCATGTAGTGAAGTGCTTTGAAATACAGCACTTAACACATTTGTGTGTGTGTTTATTCATTCTACTCTCATGTTGAATTGAATTCCTAGAGGACATGTCATGTTCATCTTTGGATCTCCAGCACTAGAATAGTGCCTGGTACATAGGCATTGGATAAGTATTTGTAGAAATCATCATTTTTACCTTAAATTGGCCTCTTTGCTGTGTGATGAACATGGGTCCTTTTTATCAGACTATTGGTTATCTGAGTCTCTGCAGCTATGAGTAGTATAAGGAAAAATAAAAAATATCATTAACATGAAAATTCTTATTAATGAACTGACCACTTAGAAAATTTGTTCATGCCCACACATCACAGCTCAATACTAATTTTTCTCCCTATATATCAATTCAAAGGCTTATTATTATCACTGTCATTGCTGATTGATAAAATAGTCACAGTCAGTTGTGAAATGAAGTTGCAAATCTTGCAATAGAAGCAAGAGTTCATGAAGTTTAGTGAGAAAAATGTTTGAGAACTATCAAAAAGTTTCACATGTGTCTATCTGTGGACACATTATATCTCACAGAAAGACCTCCTAATGGTGAAAAGAAAATTGATGCCTAGTGTCATTATCATTTATTTATTTATTTTGAGACAGAGTTTCACCCTGTTGCCCTGGCTAGAGTGCTGTGGCGTCAGCCTAGCTCACAGCAACCTCAAACTCCTGGGCTCAAGAGATCCTCCTGCCTCAGCCTCCCAAGTAGCTGGGACTACAGGCTTGCACCACCATGCCTGGCTAATTTTTTCTATATATATTAGTTAGCCAGTTAATTTCTATTTATAGTAGAGACGGGATCTTGCTCTTGCTCAGGCTGGTTTCGAACTCCTGACCTCGAGCAATCCGCCCTCAGCCTCCCAGAGTGCTAGGATTACAGGTGTGAGCCGCCATGCCCGGCCAGCTAGGACTTTTAATATGATGTTGAAAAAGAGTAGTGAGAGGGAACATCTTGCCTTGTTCCTGTTCTTAGTGGGAAAGCTCACTGCAACCTCCAACTCCTGGGCACAAGTGATCCTCCCACCTCAGCCTCCTGAGTAACTGGGACTACAGGTGTACACCACCATGCCCAGCTAATTCTTCTATTTTTTATAGAGATGAGGTCTCACTCTTGCTCAAGTTGATCTCAAACTCCTGGGCTCAAATAATCCTCCCACCTTGGCCTCCCTTAGTGCTAGGATGACAGGTATGAACCACTGCACAGGGCTCTATAGTGGGAAAGCTTTGATTTTCTCATCATTAAGTATGATGTTAGTTGTAGGTTTTTTTATAGATGTTCTTTATCAAGTTGAGGAAGTTCCTCTCTATTTCTCACTTTCTGAGAGTTTATTATTTACTATGAATGAGTGTTGGATTTTGTTATATGCTTTTTGTGCATCTATTGATAGGATCATGTGATTTTTCTTCTTTAGCCTGTTAATGTGATGGATTATATCAGTTACTTTTTGAATGTTGAACCCGGAGGCCTATGGTTAGGTTTCAGTCGTTTGGTGAGCCCGTACTGCTGGGCTAGTGTTATGTATTTCCCTTTCCTCAGATAGGTTAGTGTCTGGCAAAATAATTTCTCCTGAAGGCAGATCTTGTTAAGAACAGAATGCTGTGGAATATTTAAACATGGTTCCTCTCTCTTGTTACAACGGGCGTGTGTGCGGGTCCGTTTGTCATCTGTGGGCAAATGTATTTTTTTAAAAAATGGTTCCTTTCCCCCTCCTCTGCTGGAAGCCTGAAGGGGATTTTCTTCAGTGCTCACTGTAAGGACAGTGAATACCTCCTGGAGGTAAAACTTACCAAAATGTGGGGCTCCTCCATGC